TCGACAACCTACGTGCGACCATTGGACAGCCTTATCACAGAAAATGTGAGCAAAACTAAGCTTTATGCTCTATACAATAAAGGCTTGAATTAAGGATTGATAAAAATAAAAAGTTATCTTGAGAAATTAGATAATAGATAAATATCTTCTGTATATGGTTATAGTTAGATTAAAGAGAAATGGTTAGATAGAATAGAGTTCAACAGTAGTGAGCTTTTAGTGAATGGACACTTAGATATGATATTGATAAATATTATTTATTAATATGCTCATTTTTTTTTTAATTTTAATACACGCAGTATAAATTAAATGTTTCATTTTTTTTAAGAAAACAGGTATTTATTTCATGAAACCTTCAGCACTTAACAATAATAGAATATTTTATCTATTGTATAACTCTAAAAGGAAGTTTTTTTATTCGCAAAACATTTTTATTAATATCTTTACAACAAACGTTTTCTACCAGATAAATAACGCCTCTGTAAGCATTAATACTAAAGAATTTTAGATTTTTATTTCGAAATAAAAAAAGAACATTAGAGGTCAGAGATCCACTTAATGTGCCACAATGTTATAAGGGAAAGCTTTTCTTGTTATATCAGTCAATCGCCAACGAGCTGTTAACTGCCTTTTTATAGCAGTGGCCATTTCACGATGTCAAGACTACAGTCCGTGGGTGGTCGGTGTGGTAATGTCGCGGAAGTACGGCTTTTTTTTTTAATTTTGTGACCTTTGAATTTTGTTATTTTATATAAAAATATGTTAACATATTGGTATTTTATCAAAGAAAAAATCGAATTGATAACTTTTGAATGATAAGTATCTATTGATTTAATACTGCATTCTTTACATTTCATTGTATCGATTTGTATGTGGTGCACGTTATTTAAAAAGGCAGTGGCAGCCCAGTGGTAACGCGCTCGCTTGGGAAACCGAGTGAAGCGAGTTCAAATCCCGGGTCTCGCACCTCTGATATTTTCATGTGTGAATCATTTCCAACATGATTACCACTTTTATTAACGGTGAAGGAAAATATGGAAACCTGCATGTCTGAGAGAATCTAGCAAGTTTTAAAAAGACATGTGAAGTCCGCCAACCCGCACTTGGCCAGCGTAGTGGACTATGGTCTGATTCTCCTCGTATTAAAGGGAGGCCCGTGTCCAGCAGTGGGATGTTAAAAAGGGCTGAATACAATACGTTATTTCATAGTGGGATTTTTAAGACTTTTATACATATAAGGTATCAGATACATTATGAAGTCTTGAGTTATTTAAGTAAACTATATAATAGAATGTTTGTGATGATCTTTTCAACCGACTTCAAAAAGGAGGAGGTTCTCAATTCGACTGTATTTTTTTTTGTTGCTTTGGACTTATTATTTAATTCAATTAATAATAAGTAAATTAGCTCAAAAATTTTTTTATAATATGCAGGCGTATATGTACAATGTTCATGTATTTAGACTTCCGATATTTCTGACACGCATTTCTTTGTTTGAAACTGTTCTGTTTTGTAACAAAACTCTATAGATTTTGAATGAAAGTTTTTTTTGGTTTATATTTTTTAAGATATTTTTTTTATCTTATATATAAAATATTTGTATATATACAGGGTTTATATAATATGTTTAGTAATATATACATTATACACATATTAATATATGTATATTGTATATGGTATTTTAGGGATAAGTCCACTTTTGCAACTAATTTTTAAAGTACCTTGTCTAGTAAGTACCCTGAAGGGTAACATATTTCTGGAAATTTTTATGTTACCAATCTTAACATCCGTTAACCTAACCATTTAAGAAAAATGTGAATAAACCCGTTCACAATCAGCAAAAATAACCCTATACCTACAATAAACTCACCGAATACAATAAACCGCCTTTTGAAGTCGGTTAAATAGTGAATACATCACCCATACACATTTATAACAGATAAATAATTTCAGTATTCATACTCCATTCAAATTACTTACATGCGTCATTGCAACTTACAATTTATTACAAAGAGATAATTTTATTACGCTTATTTCTGAATAAATTGTCATAAACAGTGTTCACTTATAAGGGATTTTTCAAATTGAAACCAATAAAGAATCTCTGCCATAATAACTTATTGTATTGAAATTGCTTTTTAATACGTACCTCTGTATAGTACACACTCAAAATTATTTTTTTTTGTAAGTTTCTACCTGAGTTTTAGGGATTTATTAGTTATAATAATATATATTGAACCCGTGATTTGAACCCGCTTCACTCGTTTCCTAAGCGAGCGCATTACCACTAGGCTATCACTGCCTTAAATACATAGTACAAAATATTAAAAAAAAAACGTAATTAAATTACATACGGAACACCGGATAAAGTTTAATTTGAACTTTTTCAAATATATGTGCAAGAACCGTATCTAATGTACTTATAATAACCCAATAATCGCAATCATTTTCAAATTGAAAGGCTCATTTTGTGCAGTAGAGTGGGCAGATGTAATAAGTATTGTATAGATACTCTACTTAAATTGAATTCATTCACAGAAATTATAAAGTAAATATTCGTAGAAAGCTTTTTATTAGACTGTCTTCTTAAGTTATTATAAGCTCTTTTAATAAACTTTAAGCTTTATTGTAATACTGAGCTTATTCAATTATTCGTATATCAGTCTGCTATTATAGATATGATTTTTTTGTCTGTATAGTTGTTACTCCTTAACACTGAAAGGGCTAGATAGATTTGAATTAAATGTAGTGGCACGTAGAGACGCTAGCGAACAAAGCGAAGGTAGATTGCTAGTTAAGGATGTATAAAAAAAAACAACTTATATTGCCATTGCGTATAAATGTAGTTTTAAAAAGGTCCCAGCACACTTACCTAAAAGTATATGTATAAATATAAATATGTTGGGACATTAACACACAACACCATATAGTCCCTTGCTTTGCTACGAGGCTTGTGTTATGGATACCAGATGGTTGATACACTACACATATATATCTTTAAATACATACATATTATGAATATAAACACCCATGACTGGAGTACAAACATTCGTGCTCATCACACAAATGAATGACCCCAACGGGACTGGAACCCGCGACCGCTGGCACAGCAAGTAGAGTCACTACAAACTGAGCCAAACGTATCGTCATATATTGATATTATGTATTATTTATATTTTACTAATTTTACGGTACATCAGCATTACTTAGTACTTGTATACATAAAGGTTTGTTCATTTTAAGTATCAATTTACACCAAAAAATAATTCGATTTTTCTAAAAATCGGAGGGGTTTAAAAATGCATGATTTATTCATAAAAGCTAGTTTTGAAAGTACTATCCAAATACATACGTAACACTTATCTTGGTTATAATTTGGCTGATTAAAAAATCACTTTTGGCTAAGTCCTCTATATTAGACAGTAGCGAAGAAATTGAAGCGAATTAGTACATATTTTTGAATCACTAGATATTTAATTAAGTGTAATAATTATGTATTCAGCCCTTTTTAATGTCCCACTGCTGGGCACGGGCCTCCCTTCAATACGTGGGGGGATCAGGCCATAGTCCACCACGCTGGCCAAGTGCGGGTTGGCGGACTTCACAAGTCTTTCGAAAACTTGCTAGGTTCTCTCAGACATGCAGGTTTCCTCACGATATTTTCCTTCACCGTAAGGCAAGCGGTAATCATGTTAGAAATGATTCGCACATGAAAATATCAGAGGTGCGAGACCCGGGATTTGAACCCGCTTCACTCGGTGTCCCAAGCGAGCGTGTTACCACTGGGCTACCACTGCCTGTAATAATTATAATTAGGTAAAATTAACTGATTTAGCCAAACGAGATAAAAATTACTAATTATTTTTGCGGTATAGGCACGTCTTGCTTATATTCTTTTCATTTTACTATTCATGTGATCCATAATCTGCTTGGACAGTAGCGTAGATATATTTTTGTGACATTAGAATCTATGTAATTTAATCTTAAAAAGCTAAGTTTAAATTACCTGCACGCGAAATCCTTAATAATACAACACCAAGCTATTATATATACTCGTATCTAAATCCAAAGAAAAAATATCTAAAGAAACATAATCATAATAAAATTGACTTCTTAAATCAGTTAAGAGAACATCTGCGTGGAATACCGCAAAATGTTAGATCCCAGATACAATACGTCTCTGACAAATATTAATTGAGATATCATGATAACCGCATACGCACGCAAGGGTCTAGATAAAGGCTTTTGTTAATTTTTTTCATCATAAATCTAGTAATGCTTGGAACACTTAATAATATCTTACAAAGATATCATGTTAGTATGGGAAATTAATGGTTTCTATAAATAATACGTTGGGACATTAAGACACAGCACCATCTAGTTCCATGGTAAGCTACGAGGCTTGTGTTATGGATACCAGATAGATGATACACTACACATATATAACTTTAAATACATACATGTTATAAATATACACCCATGACTGGAGTACAAACCTTCGTCATCACACAAATGAATGCCCCAGCGGGACACGAACCCGCGACCGCTGGCACAGAAAGTAGGGTCACTACAAACTGTGCCAAACATGTCGTCATCATTCTATGATCAGTACTTCCTTGTATTTATTATATGGTTGTAAGAATAGTTTAAAATTACTTCTTATTTACATACGAGATTACATTTTCAAAGGTACACTTAACTGGTTGACGTTAAGTGAGTAACAATATGGAGCGTTATTTGCCACGTTCCTTAAATTGCGTGTTCTTGCCGAGATACCACGATAATTTACTTTACCGAGCCGAGCATGAGATGAATCTTAAATATCACATCAGTTGAAATACCAGGCTTACGTAGAATAGAAGGAGGGAACTTGATCTTTTGATCCTAATTACCGCTAAGCCATTCCTAACTTTCAAAGTGTCTTTTAAACAGTCTATCTTAAATGTTTAATCGTTTTGTTTGTATTGTGTTTTGAATTTATAGAGAATGTTCTTTCACAGACATAAACGAAAAGTGACCAACCTGCTTCCGTCGAAATCATCAGCTCCGAACCAGACAGGGTCACAAAGACGAGCACCACCTCCAGCTCCTCTATACGAAGACCTACAGGACCTTCCAAGAAGACCTCCCTTACCACATAGACCTGAGATGGAACCACAGCTTGAGGTAATAGAATAATTTATACTTGTATATAGCAAAATACCCGCCTCAGTCAACTTAAATATCAAATTAAAGACAAAAATAAAACTAGAAATCAGATAAAGAATACTAATATACATATTGTACGCTATCATATATTTATTGAAAACTATAAACATTAATAAGTTCAACAAACTAAAAGTATCATTGAGATAATTTTATGTAATATCCATATTATGTTACCCGTCTCAGCATTCTTTTTGATCTCTTAAAGATCAAAATTTTTTGATATAAATAATGTATGCTGCTCACGTTAGATCTTGTCACGTATTAAATTAATTAAACTCTAAAAAATTAGCTGAAACTATATTTAATCTAAATGAAAACTGTTAACTTTATTTACAGATGGTGGAAGCTAAAAGACCTAACTGCCAGGAGCGGGTATTCGTTTGTGGAACTGGTGGCTCATGGCGAGGAAATTCTTGTGGAGATCCATGCGGTACGCCATTGTATGAAGAGTTGCCCCATCGGTCTGATGATTCTATCCACAGCGATGATCACTTTGCTGAAGATGAATTGAGTCTAGTTGGTGAAGCTGTGCCCTGTCGAACATGCTCACGGCCGCCTGCACCACATTCCCTACCCCACAGACCAAGACCTCAACGATTAGATCGGCGGCCAAAGTCTCTTGAAAGACGACGAGGTCAACATAGGATACCAAGACATATACATCCGCCAGATCCATCAGAATTTCATGAAGGAGTTCTTCTAGACGCACTATTAAGATTGTATCCCCAAGTTGGAACAGTCGGGGCTCGACCTCCTGGTCCCATGCCTATGGGTCCTGGTGGTGCGTGGCCTGGAGGTGAATTGCCAGGAATTAACTGCTGGAGAGGTCCAAGAGCATCTCCAAAACCTCCTAGTGGAGACTCTTCATTTGGATCCGACTCAGGATATAGTAACAACACTTGTGGCACTTGCGGCACAAGAGCTTCATCTCGACATCGCCTTTCGGCAGAAATACCTTTGTCATGAACGAGAAACTTCGGACTCAGTGGGCGTGCCATAACGGTTCCATATTGAGTAATATGATAATTTTAATCATAATTCCAAGCATTTATTAGTTTTACACGGCCTACTTTAACTGATATTCAGTATGGCCTTTTGCCTTCTTCGATAATAGCGTTTACGAATTAATTCATTGGAATTAATTATACCTAGTAGTGATATTTCTACGAGTCTGTACAAAAGAGTTTCTAATTAGCCGAAGGGTTTTCGACTAGAATATTATTTTTTTTCTTAGCTTTTGGTATTAATTTTAAACTCAATTAAAATTAATAGGTTTGTAAAAAATTATGTGAACGTAGTTAGGTAGTAGATGTTTCGTCCTAGTAAGTTATATCGAGCTAGTCCTAAAATTATCGCAATTATGTATGAAGTTATAACACAATTTTGATTTAATGTAAAAAGATTGTAAATCGTGGAATTTACTAAATTGTAGATATTGTAAAAATAGAGTAAGTGAGTAGCATAGTGACTTGAATTTTATAATCATATCACAATAAATTTATCTGCATCGCATTTTATAATATAAATCACGATCTTGAATTCCTTTTTTATGTAAATTATTTATTTTCTGGTGCTAAATTCACGTTTGTATTTCCGAAACTTTATTCTGTTTTAAGGAATTTAATAATAAATGAACTGGAATTATCCGAAATATTTCTTAAATTGACACTTTATAATATGAAGCGAAATGTTTCAAGCGCAATCGAAATAATTTATTACCAATAATTTACAAGTAATTTACAAATAATTTATACCGGAATATACTTAGGTACTTACGAACAAATTTCACCAAATATCGTATATGAAAATGAGATGTTCTGTCTATATTATATTTCCCAAACATTTTATAATCTAAAGTTAAAATCAAGATTAAAGAGAATGGCAAAACTGTCATAATATTTAAATACTCCTTAAAAGTTTGGGAAACAGTGTCTAATCTTGTATAATTGAAATGATTTTTTTTTTTGTAAAAACGAAGCACTGGTTGTAAAGTATAGTTTTATTCGATCATCGAAATTTGTTTTTGTTTCCGTTTTCATATAGTATTTAAGTTATATTTATTTTTTTACTTGTTTTGTATTGTATAGTTTCAAAGCATCGCTATTATTATAAAAATTTTCGGACGAATGTCCATTTATAAATATGAAGAGCACAATAAAATGAAAAATAAATACCTTTCTAAATAACTGTATTTTATTTTCATAAAAAAATCTATCTATCTATCTATTCAGCCTTTTTTCCGTCCCACAGCTGGGCACAGGCCTCCCTTCAATACAAGGGGGATCAGGCCATAGTCCACCACGCTGGCCAAGTACGGGCGGACAATGGGAATATAACTTACCATACTAATTATCGAAACCTTATTACTAAAGATACTCCACCTTGTAAATTTGCAACATTTTAGCCATATTTTTTATGTCAACCATTTTGAAATTTCTGTATAGACAAATGGTTCATATATTGATGTAATATAAAAAAATGGTTTGAATCATCGTATGCCTCTGCTTTTTTCTAAGAGACGTTAACATATTCCCACTCAATACTCACGTTATAAATGTAGGGCGGTTTGGATGGATATTTGTCGCGTTTTCACGTAAGAGCTACTGTACAGTATTTGATAAAACTTTACACCTTTACTACCTTATAAATCAAGGTATAAGCTATAAATTATAAAGATAAGCTATACATAAATGATTTACGTGGGCAGAGTCATAGGAAAACGTGAGTAATGAATAAATACATAAACAAAATTGATTAGCAGCAGCATGAGTTTATACTAAAATTTATTGTTTGATAAGTAGCCAAATTATGATATAGGTTTAACCTTTACTTAGTATTTTTAAAATTGTGATTCAATTCATTAAGACAATCATATGCCCGTCTGTTTTAGAGCTGAATATAAGATTTCATACTAATTTCATTTATTCCGCTTGGACCTGACTAAGGAATAATAAAGACAAAGTGTCAAAGAACTAAACATGAAGTTAAACAATAACGTTTTAAAATAGTATAGAAATATTAAAAGAATATTTGTTGCATTTATGAGTAAATAAATCTATATATTATTATTTTTTTATATTTTATGTACAGATTCTTCATTTCACCAAATTTCATCAAAATGTATCACTGGATAGATTTTGATGAAATTTGGTATGATGATAGCTGGTTATCTGGGTCAACATATAGGATACTTTTTACTGCGCGAAAATATTTCATCTCTGAGAAATCTATACTAAAAATTGAAACGTAAGTAGGGACGTGAGTCGTTAGTGTTAATAAATAAAAATAGCTAAGTGATCTTGTTATAATGAAAAAATAAATAAATGAGCTACTATTTATGCTATATATTATGCTGCCTCATTTTAAAATGCAAAAAAATTAGTATTATTTTTATTATTCATATATTCTTCTCTAAAAATGTAAATTAACAATTCATACCTGTACAAAATATCCCTTATTAAAAAAAGGTCATCTATGACAAAATCGTAAAAAAAGTAGCGTAAACAGCAAATCACGCTATTTTTGACTTAGACATTTTTTTAGCGGGCTCCATCTATATATTTCTTTAGCATTAATGGATATATTATTCATTTAATAAAAAAATATATTTTAGTTATACAAATATAGTAAATAATTTAATTCCTGCTTCTCTTATTATTAAAATTGTCGTCTTTATATAAATATATAAATATGTTGGGACATTAACACACAGCACTGGTAAGCTACGAGGTTTGTGTAATGGATACGAGATAGTTGATACACTACACATATATAACTTTAGATACATACATAATATTAATATAAATTATTATGTATGTACTTGTAAATTTTGAAGCAAGCGTAGAACTGTGTTTAATTGCCTTATTCTAAAATACCCACATTAGTCTAATTTCAAAAACAAAATCAGTGCAAACAAAATCAAAATGTAAATATTAAAGAGGAGTTTAAATTATTCCTTTGTACTGTCATCCATAATCTAGATAGGTCCAAGTAATTTCTTAGAGAACATCTAAAATTTTGTCAGTATTGTGCGTAACAAAAGACCAGATTTGGGATAGGTATAAATTGCATTTATGGAGCGATTATATCTATACGTATAATAAAATTCTGAGTTGAATCTGTACGTTAAATATTTTTTGGAAAATCTTATTGAAACAGATTGTTATTGTTATGATTATATTCGAATTTTTGTCTGTCTATCAGTCTGGGAAAGCATCACGAGAAAACCACTGGACAAATTTTGATGAAATATGGTATGATGATAGCTGGTGATAATGATTGATGATTTGGATCCGGGTCAATATAGGATACTTTCTCTGAGAAATCTATACCAACCGTTAAAACTGGAGCGAGGGTGAGTCGCTAGTTATTTTATAATCAAATACTAATATACTAAATAACTATATAATAACATTAAATAATTTTAAATCATAAAAATTACAATCAACAGAATAGTATATGAAACTGAAATATATCAAACAAAGAACATTCAAGTAGGTACATATTTTGTAATGCTTTTAACATTTATATATAACTAGCTAAGTAACCTAGTGAAAAACAAAAATAAATCTATCCCTCAGGAACGGTACTATTTTCTATTCCAGACTATAATCTATCTCTGTGCCAAATTTCATCCAGATCCGTCCAGCCATTTTAGAAGTGCTAACAAATAAACACATACATACACCTACATAATATGTATATACACCACAAGTATACGCGCAGACACAAGTGCACTCTATATTCCTATTTACTCTCAAAATCTGACGGAATGATACTTCGACATAACCGGTGAGAATTAAGGCGCTGGACCGATAGCATTACGTGCTCTCCGAGGCAAGGGGGACACACCGCCAACTTTCCAAATCCGGGTTGTTACTGAGAATTTTTTTGACAGCAATACTCAATAACTGGACCCGACCCGAGACTTGAACCCAGGACCTCCGGATCGCAGCCATACATGCTAGCTACTAGACCACCGAGGCAGTTACTAGTACTATAAAGAGGTAAAGTTTATAAGTTTGTATGTAATGAGTAATCTTTGAAACAGATCTGATTCTTGCCAAAAATTATTTATATAACTTAATTAAAAATTGAAAGAAAGTTAACAGTTGAGTTGCTTTATTGGTGTGCGCCGCCTAAACGATTTTAAATAAAGCAACCAAATCGATAGTACATATATAAATAAAATTTAAGTGTCTGTCTGCGGTATTAAGATATTAGATAGACATATTAAACTTATAAGTTAATAACTTATAATACTCACACGAATATATGAGGACTTTTACAACAAATTAAAGAATTCTAGAGAAAGTTTTATTCTACTACTACAAGAGTTTATTCTACTTGCCACGTAGTATTTTCTCTTTATTATAAAAAATATAAAAAACTCTGTTTTTGGAAATGTGGTTCTGACCATGATGGCAGGGAAATTATCCGACAATCGAGGTTAGACCCGAACTTCCAACTGTTTCCCTTAGTATAGTAATTTCTTTATATTCTTCTAATACTTAAAAGAATATAAGATTTCACTAAATTCAAGGTAACTTTTGTAAATAACAAAAAAAAAGTGTTATTTTAACTGTAATATTGAGAAATAAATTTAGGTATTGACTAAAAAATTTCATATCAGATATATATAATCAAGAGCTATCGTTTAACATTATCCATACTTTTAAACCAGGAAATCACTTGTAATAATATTATAAACAAGCTTTTGTAAAGATGTTCGTTGCATAAAACTTCTTGCGCCGAAATATGATAGTACTAGGTACCGAAATAGGTTAGTAGCAACCACATACCACCTGCAATGCATACAGGACACAAGTGGTTATGTGGGACTCCCCCATCTTAATGACTCTTACGCACTCAACCACGACGCTCCAACGGCTGGCCTGCCAATGCAAACCACAACTACTATGGGGGTTGCTCCCACGATCCCAATACGTTTTTTGGGTTCGCGT